ACCTGCCTGTATAAATTAGGTATGGTTGATACACTAATTGAATTAACTAATTTCATGGAGCTTGGCTCTTCTTGAGAAGCTGCCAGTTCTGCACCTACTCAAGAGGTTGATACACTAGTGACAGAATTATAAAATGGTTTTCAACATGATTAAATTTATCATATAATACTTATACACTTGCATGAGCTCCATCGCACTCAGACTGCACCAATAACTAACGTAACTGCACTCAACAACTGTTTCTGCCATGACTCCATTGACAAAATGTCTCATATCCGCAGTAAATGTAAGCCACAAAATAATGTGAGTCTGGGTAAAGTTACTTAAGCTCAACATAACAAACAAAATATGATTTTACTTCAAGACCAAATCCTACAATCCATATATCAGACATGTCCACTGTAAGCCAGCAGTTTAGCTATTATCAGCAATACTGTATGAGTTGCCAAAATACTTAGTTTGATTATGAACATCAAAGAGCAAGCAAACTACTACCCCACTTCTCAAGAGTACTGCATCGTATATATGAATAATCCAGTGAGGATAGAAGAACATTTTCAAATTACAAACCAGACAAGAAACATGAGCATTACCAGGTTATTAACCAGACACAATACATGCAGGTTAGTGCCATAATTCATTTGTTGCATTGTACAAAGTCAGGAAGGATTATCTGCATCTGATACATACTGGAAAAGCAAACTAGTAACTACTCAAATGTAACAGAAAATTTGAAGTTTAAAGCAACACAAGTACTAATGTGAAATATTCCTAGTGCTCAACATACTTCGTGACATTTTAAAAATACACCATTTGCAGCAGGAATAAGTTCACAGAAGTGACTGAACATAATTTCTTTGAAGTATCTACTGTACTGGAGAGCAAATGGAAGTTTGAAATAGGGACCATTCTTCAGGATGTCCTACAGTAATGAAAAATTATGCATAATGACAGTACAGAATGATCTGATATTAGTGGGACATCAATCAACCACAGCCATCTTAAAATGTGTCAAACACATCTACAAAACACAAGAAAAATGTGGAGCTACAACACAAAGAATGGAAAAAATGAGGGAAACTCCAGCTTCAAAAAACTGGGCAATCTCACAGTCATTCATTATCTGAATCTTACATCAAGCATTTGCATTACCCATATACTTTACTTGATGCAAAACAGGAAGACCTATACAAACTGAAAAGATTGAATCTCTACTTGCAGGAAATCAAACCATAGAACTATATGAACCTTGATGAGTTGCCCTCACAGTTCCATCCTACGTATTTTTACCTACAGAGTAAATCCTTAGTCCAGATATGGACCTGGACACTCCATTTGCTGCAAAAACAAGGAACAAACAAGTACTTTAGATTACTAAAATAAATCCCCCAAACCTCTTAAATGAAATAGAAGCACTTGCTACATAACAATACTAGAGTACTGTTGCGTTAATACCAGCAACCATAACACAAACTGGTAGCCAGTAATGACTGGTCCAGATCAAAAATATTAATATGGCAACCACACATCTGCCATACCCTTTTGTATCCAACTGCTGTCATACCAGACTCCCCTACATTACCCATGGATTCACTGCCCCACACTATGGCACAATCAGGACATTAAAAATGCAACTTTGGTATTCAGGGGCACCACATACTGTTGCTCAAAATAAATGGAAGTATGTTTCTGTATGTTTAAATACAACATAGAAATGTTATCACCTATGTTTTTTCTGGAGAACAGTTATTAATAACAAAACCTTTCAGAAGAAGATTAATAACATGTAATGTCATTAATAAAATGCTGTGTGAATCACATTAGTATTCCTTACTTTCAATGCCAAATGGCAAAATTCATTAACTTATTTACAAACATTTCAACATGAAAATAAAATGTACCTAAACAACAATTTAAGTTACAATTTTTAAATCTTGTGAAGAAAAATGAGATTCTAGCACAATGAAAAAGAATGCATTTTAGAATTAGTTATTTCAACATGTGACTACTACCCTATATACCATACAAAACTGATATACATTCAGAGATGTGTAATTAACCTAACATGATTATACCCAGAACTTGTGTTAAAGCTATGTCTGTTGAATGTTTGCTCATGTTCTGAAATAAAACTTATTCTGAGCCAGAGTATTATTTTCTTAGATGAAACAGCACTTCTAAGGCAACAAAAAGCCAATACACCAATTGAAAACAAGTAAATTAAATTAACATATCCCAAGTGCCATAAACAACAATCCATGATGCTAACAGTTAAAACTAAAACTCTATGACTGCATGCTATTATATGACATACTGCAAATGCAGTGACACTAAGACTCCATTATATGAATATTTCTACTAAATCGTATAACTAATGCTCACGTGACTGTCAACAGTTTAAGGGTGGAATATTACATGTTCAAATCTAAAACTGTGAGTATAATATTTAAATAATTCCATATATTATATTATAACATAAAATTCAGTTTCACATCAAATAGCACTACTTAGCCAATCTTTATCATTATGCGCTAAATAAAACTGTCTCCCACACACACATCCACCATACCACCCCAAATATATTCGACCACAAAGAAAATATTAAAGATTTAATTTATAAAAATGAAACATATTTTCTTTTCCCATGAGTTATTTACTGACACCATTTCAGTGACACTAATAAGCATTCCACAGAAGGATGATAGATTAATCATGAACTGGAAAGGACTTGGGAGGAAGTGATCATAGCCTAATCAAAGTATTATCCCAGAATTATCCTGGAGGGGTTGAATGAAAGATTCAGTCAAAACAGCCCATGTCCCAACTGAGATTCAGGCCAAGGACCTCCTGGATAACTCTAGAGCACTAACTCTAAACCAATCTGCTGAGTGAAACATATGTCATGCTATATCACACAGAACCACTATCCAAATGACAAATTCATCTTCAACAGTCCACAGTATGCATTTAAACCATATGCAAAAAGAAACTGGCATTACATGCCATGTGAATAAAGTTTTCTAAACAATCATGGGTTTTTGAGAGTAAGGGTTTCAAAATTTGCTGCTTCATTAAATGTATTCAAATTTGAAATCCACAAGGAAAATTCAACATAGAAAATTTAATGTGACTGAAACTTTAAAAAGGAAAGCAGAGTCTGATAAGCATTAAAGAAGAGTTCAAAACTGGACATGTTCAACAATTTATTTCTAATTTTCTTTCAGTTCATTTACAATGTCATCAATATCTCAGACTATATGACTGATGAACAACAAACTGGAAAGGATTTGGAAGGAAGAAGTCATGACTTAAGGGCAGTATTAATCCAGCATTTTCCTGGAGGGACTGAGGAAAGCCACACAGAACCTCATTCACGACAGCCAATATCCCAGCGGTGATTCAAACCAAGCACGTCCCAAATACAAGTCTAGAGCATTACTGCTACATTGACCAGCTCAGTAATTAAATTCTAAAATGGAACCAAAAAATATGCAGAACTTCATGAATATTTCTCAATTCATGACTGTTTCTGAACAGCTTTCTTACCACACAGCTTAACAGACCTGAAATAATGTCACCATTCATTATTACAAAGCAACAACTGTCAACTGTCAGCTTGGAAAAGACCTACAGTTTCACTGCTGAGGGTCTCAGGGTTAACTACCAAGAGTAATATCTTCTTGGATATAACACAGTGTCAGCCAGTAGAAGTCTATGAATGTTTCGGAGGAACATACTGCCTCCATCATCAGGGTCAACGATTCTGAAAACGGATGAAATGCATTCTTCCAAAACATTGGCAGACTCTTACCAGATGACAGTCATACTTATGGCTGCAATATTTCTTAAAAGCCCTAAATTAATGTCATCATCATTCATTAATTATGGAAGCCCTAAGACTGTTGCTGGTTTCTGATACATACCGAACAGTTCTGGGTAACATGCAAAACTACCACACATGTTGACAATCACAAAATTGCAGCAAGAAACATGTGTCATACTTTGTGGTATTTTAATTCAGATATTAAAGCACTAGTATATAGCGAAAACGTTGAAAAGGGATTATGAAATGACTCGAACGTGATAACTATTAACATTTCAAGACAAGTTTCGGGAGACTGGAAGGTAAAGTACTGAGGGCAAACACGACATCGCAAAAATTCTGAAAAAAAAAAATCCAAACAGGTTCTCTGCAATCACATAGGAAACACTGAAGCCCTCTTCTGAAATGTTGTTTAACACGTCAGTATTGTCTGTAGATACAAGAGGTACGCAAGGTTAAGACACTAACCTAACCCAATAACATACGTTACGACTTAAAATTAAAGCATGCTGTCGAATTCGTAACACCAAGTTTAATAAGTAATTTTCACAACCAATTACAACCACACATGGCAAGCAAGTAAGAAAAAGTATTCATATCAAAACTACCATTGTCACATCGTCCAAAATCTTTATCGTATATATGTTTAATTACACATAACTTAACGTTATTTTTAAATAAAAATTAATTTGTCGATTCCTCGACTTACCTCTTCTTCTTTGACCTGAACACGTTGCCATGGATCAGCCAAAATAGCCAGAGGCATATCTGTAATCAGTTATCACTTAATCAAAATACGCTTTTCAGACAACAAACAGCACAAACACATCCGTTCCGACCGGATATTAGGTTCAATATGGCGAGTGATGATAGTATGAAGAATTAATCAAAACCATCAAAACACAGGTGACTTCACACCTGACATCTAACGACATTTATATAAACTATGTTGGTGTACAAGGAATGGAAGCTTAACAAATTTTAATTCAGTGCGAAGAATAACATGTCTTAAACACATAATTGCAATAATTCACTCTTTTGTTACTTTGTCATCTATGGCACTAAATATGTTTCTAAAAGTTCCTTAAGTGCATGTTTTTACTTTGAGTACTTAGAAGAACCTTTCGTACAATGTATGTCTGCATGTTGGCAAGATTGGTCAAATTCAAAATGGTGGTGTATACGTGCTGTGTATTAGTCTAAGATGCAGAATTAAAGAAATATTACAATGGCCACATATTTCGGGGAAGTTGTAGAGCAGTCTTCGCGAGCTTTCTGGGGAGACCAATGTGATAGTGAAGATGACGTACATTCAGATTCTCCTACAAACTGGAGGTAGACTTGTTACATTGTATTGTATTGTATTTATTAACATTCATTGATCCATGCAGGTACATGACCATTGGATATAGAAATTGTCAGCAGATTACATTGATATTTACATAAGATTGTCTTAACATGAAATAAATAAAATATATATATATATATAAGAAACGAGTGCATGCAACTAAAATACAAATCTATAATTACTGGGATACCCCAAGGTCAAATTTATTATTCCTATCAAGATACTCTTCAACTGAATAAAGAGAGTTTTCTATAAGAAACTTTCCCAATTTAATATCACGTGCACCTTGCTTGATATTGGGGGGTAGAGAGTTGAATAAGGTAATACCAGAATAATATACTCCTTTTTGAACTTTAGACTTACTAAAGGAACATGAAAGTGCAATTTTTGGCGGGTATTTATTTTATGCAAGGCAATATTTATTGTGAAAAAATCCTTATGCTTTACAACAAACATAAGAGTTGAAAAGATATATTGGGAGTAAAGAGTTAAAATTCCAAGTTTACTAAAAATTTCCCTACAAGAGTCCCTTGCTTTGGATTTCATGATGATTCTTGACATGGTCACTTACCTGTACCTAACTGGCGTTTGAAAATGGAAGTAATGTATGTTTCGACTGATTTTATGCTTCATAAGATGCATGGTATCCCTGCTGATACTTGCTTTCCTGTAACTTCAGAGAACACCTCTAACCCTGTTTTACTACCAAAATCAAGCCTAGAATGTGCTACTTTTGTGATTATCATGACTGTATTGTTATTATTAAAGTACCCTGTTTACCTGTGCTGCCATTAGGGGAAAAAGTAAAATAAATTAAAGTTAAGGATGTTCTTAAGTACAATATTAAATGTTTACAGCAGTTGGATTTTGAGCTTATTGGGTTAATGTTATTTTCCAGAAAACTTGAAGTGTCACCTTCACCCACTCAACTTATGTCATCTAGGATCAAATTATTTTTGGTTGTTCATGGACCATTAACGGAAGGTAATATAATTTGAGGCTGAGTACAAGAATATGTATTACTAGTGGTCCTGCATGCTCACAGTCCAGCCATAACCTCAGATACTGGAAAAATGCAACATGAAGTTTGAAGAAGTTCTTCTAAATAAACATTTTTCACAGAGTGACCGCTTGCAGAATTAGTACTGCCAGCAACTGATGCATATGGTGCCTGTCAGCACACTGTGTTACCATAATCTCATAAATCATTAGGATTTTCTGTGTAGACAGATTATCATCTGTATGCTGATTGGCAAGCCTAGTGTTATAACATTAAACCGATTTCAAATATTATGGAAACAACCTGATTTCCAGTTGCTTATTCATGAAATGTAGTGGATTAAAACCTAATGTCAACTGATACCTTATTCCAGTACTGCGCTTCACATTGCATGCAAAGCTCCATCCATTTCAGCGAAATCTGAGGAATTTGTATACGAATGATTAGACTGCATGGCTCACATTCCAGAATATAGAACTGTTCAGAATTAGAGTGACTGTGAGTCTAATCTTGGGAAGAAAAATACTGTTTGCATAAATCCATGAATCTTAGTGATTCTATTTCTGGTTCCAAAGAGCAGTCACCTTTTCTTTTCAAAATAAAACAAGATAAATTATATATTAGTGAAAGGGAAATGTAGTTCATATTTGGATTTTAAGCGATGGACTTCTTTTCTACAACCCAAGCCCTCCAGAAGGGCTCAGCTCCATGAGTAAGTAAGTAAGTGTATAACACAGTCCACACCAAAGAACTACGGTCTAGTTAGTATTTTGATTATAACTGTTTTTAACATTCCTTGGTCCTGTTCTTATTTGTGTGCAATAATGTTTCAACAGGTTTTGTTGAAGCTTGTTTTCTTGATAAGGGAGTACCTATAGCTGAAATTAATGAAGCTGAAACAGAAGGAGAAGAATCATTCAGAAGAAGAAAACGAAAGTCATCAGCTATATATAGCTTGCTCAGCGATGTTTTGCTATGTATCTGCAGTTCACATTTAGACATGGCTCAGTCATTTGATTTTACTGAAAAGGTGTGTAACTTTTTGTGAAATTATAGCATAGAAGTAAAGTATTGTCACATGTTAGTGACTAGACACTGGGGTTGGATTAATAATTGTGTTTACTGAGCACTTAGAACTCATAAAAGGTAAAGGCAAAGTTGTTGCTGCACTTACCTAATTAAGGACTGTGCCATAAAGGCATATGGGGGATTGGATGTATAGATCCACATTTTCTTGACCTCAGCACTAGCTGGAGGTGAGTGGTCAGCTTCACGCTCCCTGCTGATTTACCCCAGGGGAAAGAGCCCCCCAGTGCCCATTGGATGGGATGTTGGGTGGATCCCGGAGCCAGTCTGGATGACTTGGAGAAGAGAAAATTCTTGCCCCAATCAGAAGTCGAACTCTGACCCCTTGGTCGTCCAGTCCATAGCCAGTCGCTATACCAACTGAGCTATCCCAACTCCTGCTTACAACTTGTAACTGCCAATCACTTTAACAGTCTCCGAGACTTACACATTCTGTAGATCACTACTACAACAACTCACATAAAATCTTCTGTTTGTTATTCGATTGCCATTTTTTTTTATTGCTAGTGGGGTGGGACTAAGTCCCTTGTACTGCGGCCACTTCTGGCCTATTGTACCAGCCCCAGATGATAGGTGAGGGTGATTGTGGAGCAGTTGGTGGAATGAAGATTGGTAGGGGAAACCGAAGTACTTTAAGAAAAACTGCCCCAGCACCACTTTGTTCACCACAAATCCCACTTGACCAGACCCGGGATCAAATCCGGGCTGCCGCAGTGGGAAGCCAGCGACTAACCGCTTGAGCTATGGTGCAGCCTTTTGATCGCCATTAGTCACTACTAGATAGTGGCTGCTAGCCATGCAACTCAAGACTGACTAACCACCAACTTTGACTTCAAACAACTGACTGACTAATTTTTCCTGTTGGTCCCCGCTATATAGCCTCAACATGGACTGCACAAAAAACACCACTTCTAACAATCCCTCTGTTGTTATGTTTTGATTCACTGCTGCGGAAACATGTTTACCATCCATTGCATAGCAATGGCTGCGTCTGTTCATTCCACTAGCCGTCATGAACAAACGACTCATTTAGTCTGTGGCTCATGTAAATGGAATTTTGAACATGTCCAAACATGCCTGGGTACCTGACTTTGCCCGAGTCAACACCCCAGTGACAAGTTGCAGAAATTCCGGGAATTAAATTGCCACACCTTGTACAGTGAACTCCATATATATAAAATTGTCATATACAGTGAGGGTTTTATGTTGGTGCATGTTTTCATGTGCTGTGTGCACTTGGGTGGTAGAGTTGGATACTTTCCTGTTAAGTTGGGTCAACCCTTGTTATGGAAGTTTGCTTCATGGTAGCACTGTAGACAAAATTTATTCTACAATAAATTTTCAGTGACTGGGAAGGCCTTCCAACCAAGGAGATATCTTAAGTTTTGTTCGAAATCTGGACAGTTCACTGTAGATCTGAAATACAGAAAAGTGTTAACATTGTTTTAGAATAACACTATGTATATTCCAAGCAAAAGTGATTCTTATTGTTAATACTGAAAGAGATACTCATGTTTCCTTACTGAACACATCATTCCACTAGTATACTAGTTATCTAATATATTAATAGGTAGATAGTTTATACACGGTGGAAATTCTTACATGAAGACTGTGGAACTTCTTATCTGCCTTTAGTTGTCATGCTTTCTTTGCATGATCATAGAGCTGGTCATATCTCTCTCTGTCTTCTTGTTTCAACTTGAGAACCACTGGATGGATTTTGATGAAGTTTGACATGGACATAATAACACTGGAAGCCACCCATAACTCATGTTAGACTATGTATGGTAACAGATGTTTGAAAAATATGAAACTTCAGTTAGTCTTTTCTTTGTGTAAAATACAAGACACCAAACTGGCAACTGCATGAAATCTGTTTGCAGCTTATGGTGATAGTGATGATTAAGGTACCATATGAGCTGGGCATGTGAAATTGATACAGAGATAGATCATGCATTATATCATAACATCTAGTGTTACATATTTTTTCTAACTCAACAACTGAAAACATGGTGATGCAAATCTTTGATGTTATGTATGATAGATTTAGCAGGGAATAGCAACATCATCATATTTAAAATTGTAGACCTACTTAACATTGTTGGTATGTTCATGACATCTATTTCTAACCACTAAGAGCATTCAAAATGCAGAGGTGCAGAGAACACTGTGGAAATCGTGTATTTTAATACTGATTACACCTTTCCAATCATGTTTATTTACATATATTTTTAGATATCTCCTTGGATGAAGAATGCTGAGCAAGTGATTATATTGACATGTAGCTATATTTCTGGGTACCATATTACGAGACACCAGGATGATTCTCCAGATACATTCCTGAAAGCACTAAAAACTGACAACTTCAGTAGCCTGGTACTGAGTGAAACTCTGGAACAACCTAACACCGTGAAGGGAATACCAGCTGGAGGTTTGTGCAGCTGCCCTTACTTCTTAATTCAGTTTCCATTAATCCTTTCCTGTCATGTTGATATATAATCCACATTCTGAAAATGTTCCCACAGTTGAATGTCACCATATGATGAACAAGTTTGCTTTTGCATTTATGTGGTCATATGTTGATCGTATGTTGCTGCTTGCCACTGTAATCTGTAGCAGCACACTGATGAATGCTTTGTGTGCCTTCTTCTCCCATCTGCTAGTCTTGAACTCCTTGAAGAATAAATGGCATATATTATGGGAAGTCACTAGATTACATCATGGCATCAGGCTATAGCAAACCTGGCCCTTCTGTCTTGGAAGAATTGAGCAATGAACAGTCAGAAAGTGAATGTGAGAGTAATACAAGTAGCATGAGCGATAAGATAGCGCACACACTGTTGTGGTGGGGAGCTCAGCATGTCTGCTCGCAGGCACAATAGGTCTGGACAGGTTTCAGTGTGCAGTGTCATTACTGTTCCGTTTGAAGTAGACGTGAGTGTTGGTCATTCGGCGCAATGTCACAGTTCAAACAGTGTGCAAACATCAAGTTCATGTGCACATTGGGAAGAATCTGCTTCAGAGATGCAGTCGGCCCTGCAGCAAGTTTACAGTGATACTGCACTAAAGAAATCCTCAGTTTACAACTGGTGTTCCTGGTTTAAGAATGGGCAGGAGACGTTAGAGGATGACCAGCGCAGCAGGGGACCTTCGACATCCAGAACCAAAGAAATGATTGTAAAAGTGCGACAACTGATTCGATGTGATCAAAGAATGACCATCATGGAGTCGGAGCAAGAAGTTGGTATCTCTCACGGATCCATTCATGCCATTTTGTCCAATGATTTGAAGATGAAATGCGTCACTGAGAAGTTTGTTCCAAGGCAGTTGACCACGGATCAGATGGTATGTCGCATGATGCTCGCTGGTGATCTGTTTGACAAAAGTATGCAGGACCCGACATTTCTCAAAAAGATCGTCACTGGTGATGAGTCATTGGTGTTCGCCTACGACCCGGAAACGAAGATGCAGTCATCGGAGTGACACACAGCGTCATCTTCCCGGCCAAAAACATCACGCCTTGTCAGATCCAAAGACAAAGTGATGTTCATTGCATTCTCTGACATCGATGGTTTGGTGCACCATGAGTTCATACCGCCTGGACAGACTTACTGGCCATTTCTACATGCAAGTTTTGCAGAGGTTGCGCAGTGCGGTTCGGAGGAAGCGGCACGACAAGTGGCAGGGGCAGTGGTTTCTGTATCATGATAATGCATCGAGCCACGCATCGCTTGTTGTGCAGCAATTCCTCACCAAGAAAAACATTCCTGTCATCACTCAACCACCATACTCTCCGGATCTCGCTCCAGGTGACTTTTAGCTGTTCCCTACTCTGAAAATGGGCCCCAAGGGGACACATTTCGCAACCATGGAGGACAGAAAATCAAATGCGACGGCTGAGCTCTGGAAGATTCCAAACGAAGCCTTCCACCGCTGCTTCCAACAATGGCAGTGTCAATGGAGCAAGTGTGTGTGCGCGCAAGGGTCCTACTTTGAAGGTGATTAGGTAAGCGTTGCCGTATGTCCTACCATTAGAGTGCTATACCACCATTCTGGGAACTTTTTGACTGCCCCTCATATGTTTATTGTGAAACGTACATAGCACATTCATTCTTGTTGAATAAGACACCTGGCAGCAAATAATTTGCATCTTATTTTTCAGAACTTTGTTGTATAAGTAACAGTAATGGAGGATAAATATATATTGTGCACATGCATATTTATGTACTAACATATTCATATAATTTATCTTAATTCTAACACTGTGTAGTTCAGAGATAAGTCAGTGTTTCAGGGGAGCATATCACCTCCATCTTCAGAGTCAAAGAGTAAGCATGTTTCTGCTGGTGTCTTGCTTGGCTCATTCTTTGACCTTTAAGATGAAGGCAGTGTTTGCCTCCATAACGTTGGGATATGTCTGAATTACACAATGTTACAACCCATAAGATCATACTTCTCATAATCACCTCATGAGAACCTCAAATCCAGTATGGCTTGGCATATTTTCATTGTAGTCAGAATTCATCTCCCATGCCAAAAAAAGGGATATAAAGACATTTATTGGTTATAAAACAAAATAACGGACTGGATTATATCTCAGAGGTATATAATTCAAATCTTTTTGGTGCATGAAGGCAGGAAAATGTGTGTGAATTTGTATATATGTATTACATATTCCATATACTAACATGCTTATTACCTCAATTTCAGTACTGACGTGGTGTCAGATATTCGAGATTCCGGCAGTTCTGTACATTTGTTACACAAGGAGCTATGAAGTTGATTCAGCTTCAGTGAAACTCTTCCAGCAACTTTTTTCAAAGTTACCTTTCAANCCTTTGGGGTTGGAAGCAACTCATATTCATAAATTTCATCTGTGTTTTCGCTGTGGCCTTCACTATCTGACTAGGCGCTGGTTGTTACGCTCCTTGGCAGGATGGAAATTGAGCTTGTTCTATCATCTGTTCATCATCCTTGACTGCTTTTCAGAGTTTTCCTCAGTTACCTCTGATTTCTTATCAAATATTTAATCTCGTCTTTGTCCAACTGTCATCTTGCTAAATTTGTGTCATTCCCCTGTGGTGTGAGGGTAGAGAAAAAACTCAGAATGCATGATATAGATATTGAAACAGAATGAGCTGGCCATGTATACTTTTTCAGGTGAGTCTCACAAGTGAAGCTTATCATATAATACATCCATTCTGTTCTTAGAACAGCAAAACCATTGTATATAAAAGCAGAAGTTATGTTCATGGTGAATTCTATTGCCTGGATAAGAGTCCTCAGTGCATGGTATACAGGCCATATATCATGTATTGCAACATATAGTTATCGTCAAAAGTTTCTGGCACTTTTCAGAGCTAAATATTATGATGTGATCAAGTAGCTTAACAAGAGATGTCATCCACTGCTAGTCAGTGGCACAGTAAATGTGCTATTATGTCATTCAACCAGTGAGCCATTGCTAGGCAACAATTAGACACAACAGTGGAGAAATTCAGTGTTTTCTGTGTGGCCCATGTCTAGGCTATATATAGAGCATGAACGAATTTGTTGTATGAACAAGGCAGAGCCAGACAAAAAATATGAGGCTTAAACTTGGCAATGGTCAAGCTTATGAACATTCATAAGATAATTAAGATAGGCATGATCTGCTTTGCAAAGCCTGCGCTGACAGAGGACTTGTATAATGTGCGAAAGGAAATATTTTCAATAACATGCTATATGTGCAATATGTACAGTTGACAAAGACCAAGCACAATCATAAGAGACGAACACATCCTACCCTCAGAGAGGATGTTACATAAGGACTATGACCGCAAGGGTTCAGTTGCAAGAAAAATAATCTCCAGTCTTGATCCTCAAGGGGCTTGGCACTAAGACTAACTGATTGGCAATAAATTGCCAGTTGTAAAGTAACTCTGACTTTGACTTGTACAGGGTACATAAATTAAAATTTTTGACTAATAAAATAAAAAGAAATTCAGGCAAAGGTGCAACAAGGTTATGTCCTATCCACACATTGTGTAATCTGTATAGAAATGATGCCATCCTTACTGCAGGTGTTTATTTAGGCCTCTTTGCCGATGACACTTGCATGTGTGCCATGGATCCGAAGGAGGCTTATGTTCTCAGAAAGTTGTAGTGCAGTCACAATTCAATTGAGTAGTGGTGTGAGTGCTGTAACATTAAAATCAATTAACGTAAAACTCGGTCTGTCTTCTTCTGTCATAGACTTAGACCACTTGAGGGTCATCTCACGCTGAACAAAGGGAACATCCCTTTCCTGAATCACATAAAATACCTCAGTGTAATCCTTGATAAAAGAGCTGCATGGAGATTTCACATAGAAATGAACAAAGCCAAGGCTTTCAGAACACTTATTNGATTCGGTGACATCAGAAACTGGAGAAGATCCGTCGTGAAAGTATTATTGATAGTATCAATTGATCTCTATGAACAAAGCAGAAACAGCTGCAAAAATACAGCACGAAAACANTGCACCACCAGGCAATTTGAGGCAGACACCAACCCTCTGACATTGCAGTGAGTGCAAAACAAGGTTCTGCACACCTGTGGTAAAATTTCCAAGGCGCACACTGATCTGCACACAGTTTTGAATCTTCCATTATATATGATTATATAACAAAACTGCTGAATGTCAAATATACTCAACCCTTTCCAGAAGAGCTTTAATCTGAACCGACTGTAAAACACATATCAGAATATGTTTCTGTTCAACGTGAATAACCCCAACCAATCAACCAAATGCCCAGTGACCTGGAAAGTACACAAAACAACTGTCAAATCACAACAGTAAGAAGTAAAAGAAGGCA